GTAACATACACAGATCAGTACATAAAATAGTAATGGAGACTGAGGGTGAAGGAATAGAGGTGTACAGGACTAAAGTTTCTATATATTACAAGAATTAAGAATCTAGCCAGGGAGACAAATTAACATGTAGATTTTAAGTGCTAGAGTAACTATTAAAAAAAAACACATAAATATAATTTAAAAGAATTAAAATGTATGCTAGAAACTAAGAAGGCTGTAAAGAAGCAACAGAAACAAAAAAAATGAGATACATAAGAAAAATGCAACATCAAAGACATAAATGCAACCACATCAATAATAACATTAAGTATGAATGAATTTAACAATTCAATTAAAAGGAAGGGATTGTCAAACTGGATACAAAACAAGATTCAACTATATGCTGTCTACAGGAGACACTTCATTCAAAGATAAAATAACCATTGCCATCAAGTTAACACTGACACATAGTGAACCTATGTATTTCAGAGTAGAATTATATTCCATAACTTTTTTTATTGTTTGTTTTGTTTTGTTGTTGTAGAGAATATACACAGCAAAATATACACCAATTCAACAGTTTTCACATGTACAATTCAGTGACATTTATTATGTTCTCTTTTTTGTATTGTGCTTTGGGTGCAAATTTACAAAGCAAATTTGTTCTACATTCAACAGTTCATCCGCATTTGAATTAATGGCCCCATTACCATTCCCAACCATAACAAACTCTACTCCCCTCCAGTCCCAGTGACCACCCGCTCCCTGTGCCCTTCTAATCTATGCACTCCTGTCTGCCCAGCTTTCCCTCTAGGTGAGTGCTGTCCTCTGGTGCATCAAAACCACAATGAGAAACCACTTCACACATTGGACATTTTTGCAAGAGAGAAACACAAACTTACTTGTTTGAAACTCTATATTGTCAGTCTCTATTACTAAAAACAAAATGTGATTCCTGTCAGCATTCACCAAATAGATGCACCATATAGCCATTTATTAAAATGCAGAATACTGAATAAGAAACAAGGAGAAGGAAAGGAGTTGGATAGTAGTTCACATTGGATTAGAGTCAAGTTTGATATGCCCATCAGATACCTAAGGGGAGATGTCAAACAGGTAACCTGAATATATGAATTTGGATGTATTTAGAGGAGGGCTAGGCAAATGTATATATCAATAGAAGTGGTTTCTCTCAAAGCCATGAAATGTTACGGCCATATGTCAACCTCTTCAATCTTCTCTGACTTTAGGAGACAGGACCGTGACTAAAGAGAGGTTGTGAGTTTTGAGTAATCTTTCTGATTTCACTTCCAAATCAATGTTAAAATTAAATTTCTGTTTAGTTATTAATTTAATTCCTCAACACTATCTATAGGCAATTTTCCCAATGGAAAATTTCTCCAGATTTGTCACTAATGAGAAATTGTGGGAACTGGGTCTCCAAGGTCAAGAAAGATTCCTTCCGGTCCCAAGAGACATGAAGATTGATAATGCTCAGCTCTCAAGCTGTATCAGCTCTATGTTTTGACAAGATATCAACAATGTAGGCAAAAGCCCTGCGTTCTCTGATCTCTTCCATCTGCTCACCAAGAGCATCAGATGGAGCAGCCATTTCTAAGGTTATCATTCATGAGGTGGAGATTAGGGAAGCCAACAGGTAAGTGTGGAAGGCGGCATTTGAAAAAGTAATGGGCTCAAAATTCAATGTGGACCATCGCCACTGCCATGAAGTCAATCCCAACTCTTAGCAAACCTATGGGGCACAGGGTTTCCAAGGCCATAGATCTTTATGCAAACAGATTATCTCATCTTCCTCCCACAGAGTGGCTGGTGGGCTCAAACCACTAACAATTAGTAGCTGGGTCAAATGGCTTAACCAATATGCCACCAAAGTTCCTAAGTGGACGATTCTGGGTACATTCTGCACTGTGAGGCCTAGGTAATCTTGAAAGGCCACTTTGTGTACTCTTTCCAAATCAGTATGTAAACCATTCTCATTTTAAGAAAATGTCTTGTGTGGTAAAACTCTTACCAGGTAGGTTACATGGAAATATCTAGTAGGAAATCAAACATGCAAGTCTAAAATTTAGGAGAGAGGTTGGAATTGAAGATGTAATTTGAGAGTTATCTGTTGGTAAATATTTTAATTAGAAATATTTAAATATTTTAACTAGAAAACAGAGATGTGTTTCTAACGTGAGTAATAAAACAAAAAAAGGAAGTAGCCAACTAGACTGAGAAGTGGCTGCCAGAGACTTCACTCAAAAACAAGGAGAACGGTGGTGTCCTGGAAGCAAGGCAAGGAAAGTGTTTGAAGTAAGGAAAAATTTAACTGTATTATATCTTTTTGAAAGGTCAAGTAACTAAAGAACTGAGAATTGAACTCTAAATTAACAAGAGTGGTTTCAGTGAAATGGTAAGAACAAAAGCTTGATTGAAGTGAGCTCAAGAAAGAATGGAAGGTAAAATAATGAGTTCAGAGAGTAATTAACAATGAGGACAAAGACAATGAGGTTTTGAAGAGTTTTGCTGTAAATAACAGAGAGGTAGTGAAGCAGGTAAGGAGCTCTGCTGTGCACTGGTTTAGGCATTTGTCTGTTAACCAAAAGATTGGTGCTTCAAATCCACCAAATGCTGTGTAGAAGAAAGGTGAAGCACTATGCTCCCATAAAGATTTACAGCTTTGGAAACCCAGTGGGGGTCACTATGAGTCAGAATCTACTCAATGGCAGTGAGTTTGTACTTTTTTAAAGAGTAGTAGCTGGAGAATGCTGTGGAGACGTGCCAGAGTATTAGGATACAGTACATCTGAGACTGAAATTTTAGAGATGAATAGAGAGGACTTCACAACCCTAAATGCTGAAATATTATTCTCATAACCTCAGTTCTGAGCCTCATGTAGCCTAAGATCCAACTTGAGCTATGTATTTTCCAGATGAATAACCTGGAGGTGGATATAATAAGTGAGAGGACTCAAGTAAAATCATCAAGAAGATCCAACCTGGAAGAAGATGTGCAAATGAAGAGGTGCAGCACTGTCTCAGCTGAATGAAGTATTATTGTCTGAAGAAAGGAGGGAGTAGAGAAAGTCTTAATTTTGTAGGAGAGTGGGAATCCCCCTGTTTCTGATTTAAAAAAAAAAAAAAGTGGTGGGGAGAAAGTGGAAATAGAGAGGAAAGGAAAGAAAGTGTATGGTAGAGATACGGCTGGTATGATAAGCTATATTTTGCCTTCTACTCAGCAGACTAGCAGCATCAGCATCTCCTGAGAGTACCAGTGGTGTTAGGTGCCTTTGAGCAGGTTCCAACTCATAGAAGCTCTTTGAGAATAAAACATTGCCCAGTCCTGCACCATCCTCAAAACAGTTGCTATGTTTGAGATTATGTTGTAGCCACTGTGTCAATCCATCTTGTTGAAGATCTCCAGATGTTTTTCACTGACCCTCTACTTTACCAAGCATGATGTCCTTCTCCAAGAACTGGTTCCTCCTGATAACATGTCCAAAGTGTGTGAGATAAAGTCTCACCATCCTCACTTCTAAGGAGCCTCTGGCTATACTTCTTCCAGGACAGATTTGTTCATTGTTCTTGCAGTCCATGGTATATTCAATATTCTTTGCCAACACCATAATTCAAAGGCATCTATTCCATAACTCCTAAATCAAAATATTTGGGTTAGAGCTCAAAAATCTGTGATTTAAGTAGATCTCCAGGTGAATCCTATGCACAATGAGGTTGAGAAGCATTGTTTTCAGTTATTCAAATATAATAACATAAAGAGGGAAGAAGTTACATCTATTTATCCTAAATCGCTTATCCATTGGAAGATTAACAGACTGATAGAATCAAAGAAGTAATGAGTGTATAATTGGAAAAATAAAAGGAAACCATGCCTGCCACATGATTTATCACAAGATTTCAATTATAGACTCTGCAGGTTGATCAGAGATTGAAAGGATGACGAGGAGTTGATTCAGTGAAAGACAAGGAACATGGCACAGATGAGGGAATGAAAGGCAGTGTGGTTGTAGAGCAAAGAATGAGTGGGTTAGTGCAAGAAGAAGCTGGTGAGGTGTTTTGGGATCAAAACACAATGAGCTTTGTGAAAAACATTACAAATGTAAAGGAACATTTTTTTTTTTCATGAGAGCAATGATTCTCCATTGTTTGTTCATCCTTTTTTAATAAAGAAATGCATACTTTCTAAACAAAGAAGTGACATGACCAGATTTTGTTTTATGAAAAGATCACGCTCACTGTAATGTGGAGAACATATTGGATGGGGCAAAAGTGGGTAGGTTTAACCATTTCAGAGGCTAGCAATACTCTACCCAATCAACAATAGTTGAATTAGAATAGTGACTGTATAGATGGTAGAAGTATTTATCGACTTTCTACAATGTCTACATGTTGGGGTTCAGCCTGTATCTTCAAAGAGCTCATGGTCTAGCATGGAGAGTTCTCAGGATTCAGAATAATCTCCACAACCAAAATCACTCTCCACTTCATCACCACATTTGCAACAGACTCACAAACAAGTAGTTATACCATCCTTCTTGGTATACAAAGTTTATACACAACGTTTAATTAAAAGAGTTCTTTCATACTTAGAAAACAGTACTAGGAAGCCTCTTTCATTTCCCTTATTCCTTCATTTTTGTGCCTCCTCACTTTGGCCATCCTTTATGAAGTCTAACTTTTGTCCTTTCTATGGGAGCTCTGGTAGCATAGTACCTACAGCACTTGACTGCTAACCAGAAGGCTGGCGGTTCAAAACCCCCAGCCATTCCTCGGAAGGAAGATGAGGCAATCTACTTCCATAGTGATACTACCTTGGAAACCCAAGTAGGGACTCGCAACTTGACGGCACATAACAACAACAACAATCGTATTTCAGTTTCTTTTCTCCATTCCTCAGAATGGTGATATAAGGGAAACCCATTGCCAAAAGACATCCAGTGCCTGACAAGGAGTTAAGCCTTTTCACATTGATTCTTTTCTTGCAGCACACCAAAGTCCAGAATGAACTGCAGCAAGACCCCTGACTTGGTCCTTTTGGGGTTGTCCAGGGATCCAGAGCAATGGGAGTTCTTCTTTTGTCTTTTTCTGGCCTTGTATTTGCTGAGCCTCCTAGGCAACTTGCTACTTCTGCTAACTATTGGTACTGACAGCCACCTCCACACTCCCATGTACTTCTTCCTTGGCCAGCTCTCACTAGTAGATGTCTGCTTCACTTCCACCACAGCTCCCAAGATGCTGCAGACTTTGTGGACCAGCAATGGAGCCATCTCTTTCTCTGACTGTCTGATGCAATTATACTTCTTTGCTGTTTTTGCTGATATGGACAGCCTTCTTTTGACTGTCATGGCTATTGACCACTATGCTGCTATCTGCCATCCTCTGCGTTACCCAATCCTAATGACTCCTTGCAGATGCGGACTGCTAGTGGCTGCGTCATGGGGAGTGGCTCACTCCATCTCTCTGATCCATACCTTATTACTATCCCAGCTATTCTTCTATCCTAATCAAGAGATTCCCCACTTTTTCTGTGATCTAGGTCCTCTCTTATGGCTTTCTTGCTCTGATGCTAACCTCAATGAGGACTTAGTGGTGGCTCTGACTGGGTTTTTAGGAATCAGTCCTCTCCTCTGTATCATAAGCTCTTATGCCTGTGTTTTCCATGCTGTGGCTATGGTTCCATCAGCACAGGGGAAAAAGAAAGCTCTGGCCACATGCACCTCCCACCTCTGCACAGTCATCCTCTTCTACAGCACAGTCTTTGTTGCCTATCTGAAGCCCCCTTCAACTTCTCGTTCTCCTGGGGAGATGGTCGCTGCTGTCATGTATACCCTGGTAACTCCCACTTTAAACCCTTTCATTTATAGTCTGAGAAATAAGGATGTGAAGAGTTCCCTGAAAATGATTCTGGGCATAGAGAGTTCTCAGGATTAAGGATAATCTTCATAACCAAAGTCACTCTCCACTTCATCACATTTGCAAAATGAATCCATTAACACCAAGGTTGTCATGTGCATTATATGATCTTTTAGAAAGAACAATGAAATAGAAATAAGAACTAAATTCTAGGTCCCAATCTGTTGCTGTTTTTGTTTGTCATCCAAGTTGGCGCCTACTCATAGTAACTTTATGTATAACAGATGAAATGGTGTCTGGTTCTCCACCATCCTCACAATCACTGCTGTTTGAGGCTATTGTTGCAGCTACTTTGCCAAGCCATCTCATTGAGGGTCTCTCTTTTTCACTGACCCTCTGATTTAGCAACCTTCATGTCCTTCGCTAGTGACTAGCTCCTCTCTAGGTTTAGTTTTAATTTATATTTAACATAAGGATGGATATATTCAAAAGACGTCTGCAAAAGACCTCTTTAAAGTGTCAAAGAGCAAAGATGTCTCTTTGAAGACTAACATGCACCTGACCCAAGCCATTGTTTTTACAGTAGTCTCATGTGCATGTGAAAGCTAGACAATGAATTTAAAAAAAAAAAAAAA